CTGCCATTTACTGACACCACCAAAACTGTCATCGCTCCTTGGGGAGTCTCCCACTGACGCGCTCATGCAGTGCCCGCTGCTCCCTTGCTAATAACGATGCTCCCCGCGAGCTCGCCCTGCTGCAGCCCCCCGGGCTTTGAGGCTGACCCCCAGCATCAGCTCTTATTCCACTTGGCCTCTGAAATGTGTCGTGATAAACATTTGATGAGCTCTGCTCCCCCGTCTTTTCCTGTGTACTTTCCAGCATTTTTCCCTGATCCCTTTATGGATTTCACAGAAAAAAGGGAACAAAGAGAAATAGTCCTTTCTAGGTTTCCTCTTTTTGACCACGCACAGAGGCCAGGGGAGGAAGGGGGGAATGAGCTTAAAGTCGTTCCCGTTACCAGCTGCTCTCATCAAGGTTTTGCTCTTCCTCCCGTACTCGTTCCCAGACAGGGTCAGGCCCCAGTCACTTGTCCTGCTGCCAGTGATGACCAGCGCTGGCCACCGTGTAGGAGCATGCAGGTCTTCTCCTGGAGTTTAGTCTTACCCTCCAGACTCGGATATTGGGGTCCTGCTCTTCAGACCTACGTCTCCCCATGGTTTGCTTGGAAAAGTTCAGATTTAGGGAAAAACTAAACCCTGGGCAGTGCTCTGCAGGCAGGGCTAACGCATCAAAAGGGGTCGGGGTCGGAAAGGGGCTGGCTGCCTGCCCTGGCTTGGGAAAAAACCTCTTCACCCGCATCCTCGGGTTGTGTTTAAGCTCGACCCAGCCTTGTTTGTACTTGGAGTTTAGCACCGGAGAGTGTCGAGGGAAGACAACACTTAGGGAAGGTTTCAGGAGATGTGGGCTGGAGGAAGACCAAGAAAATGGGCTTGGGGCTGCGTTCCCTCTCTTGCTTTTCCAGGACGGCTGCGCTAGCGGTTTTCAGAGGAAATGGAAAGAATGAGGGGAGGAACAAAGGACTTTAATGCGCTTAAGTGCTTGTTTTCGTCATTTCTCCAGCACACGCAGGCTGTGTAATGTGCCAGAATTGAACCATTAGTTGCCCCTGGGGCGGAGGAGATGGGCTTTTCAGGGGTCCACATGCCCCAGATTTGCTGAGCTGGGTCCAGCAGGACCGTCCGTCCGTCTGTCCTCCCCCAGCTCTGTGGACCAGCCCTGTCGCCCTCCTTTCCCTGCAGGAAGGGGAGCGAGTGCCAGCACCGCTGCTCTGGCATCCCCCCAGCTTTCCAGTACCCTCTGCATCCCCGCTCGGTGCCTCCAAGACCCACGGCTTTGTACGGGAGACGGACAAGCCCCGAGCATGGGACGGGCCCCCGTGCCCCACAGCCCGGCGCTGGGATGCAGGAGATGCTCCCCATCGGCGCAGGGATGTGTCGATGGGGACCTCCCCGAAACGCGCCCCGCTCTGTGCGGGTAGGGGGGAGATTTCATCTCCCAGCTGGGCTCGTGTCCCGGCCCCAAACTCCTGGCCGTGACGCAGAAGCTCTGCAGAGGTGTGTGCGCGGGGGGGTTTCCCATCATTAAATGTGGTAAATCAGCAAATCAGCAAAACATTCTGGGGTGGGAGTTGGTTTGTTGTTTGGTTATTATCTTTCAAAAACCAGGGGGAATGGGAGCACCTGAAATGTCTGGGTGCTGCTAAAGGGGGGTGGTGCCACCTGTCCTGGGAAGCAATGAACCTCGCGCTCCCAAATCCCCGGGGGACCTGCCTCTCCCTGACGTGCGGAGCATCCCGGCTGCTCGCACCCCACAGCCTCTGGCTGTGGTGTGAGGGTGCCCCGGCATCCCACCAGGTCTGACCCTCCGCCCTCCCCTGCGCAGCAATACTTCATCCTCCTCATCATCACGGACGGGGTGATCAGCGACATGGACGAGACGAGACACGCCGTGGTGCAGGCGTCCAAGCTGCCCATGTCCATCATCATCGTGGGGGTGGGCAACGCCGACTTTGCCGCCATGGAGTTCCTGGACGGGGACAGCCGGGTGCTGCGCTCCCACACCGGCGAGGAGGCCGTGCGCGACATCGTCCAGTTCGTGCCCTTCCGGGATTTCCGCAACGTGAGTGTGGGCAGCGGGGCCCCCCCCCCGCCTCTGGCTGTGGTGTGAGGGTGCCCCGGCATCCCACCAGGTCTGACCCTCCGCCCTCCCCTGCGCAGCAATACTTCATCCTCCTCATCATCACGGACGGGGTGATCAGCGACATGGACGAGACGAGACACGCCGTGGTGCAGGCGTCCAAGCTGCCCATGTCCATCATCATCGTGGGGGTGGGCAACGCCGACTTTGCCGCCATGGAGTTCCTGGACGGGGACAGCCGGGTGCTGCGCTCCCACACCGGCGAGGAGGCCGTGCGCGACATCGTCCAGTTCGTGCCCTTCCGGGATTTCCGCAACGTGAGTGTGGGCAGCGGGGAGGGGACCACAGGCAGAAATGGGGTCTCAAGCCTGGAAACGACCCTGGATGTGGAGCAGCCCTGCTAGGGGCAGCTAGAGGCAAAAGGTAGAGGGCTGGCACCCACCTGCCTTACCCTGGCCCTAAACGCCACATCCCTCGGCGGTGCTGGTATGGACCACGTAAATCGGCGCTGCAGGCAGGGGCAGGCAGGGGCACCAGTGCCCTGCACCTCCGTAGCGTGCTCCATCCGAGAATGCCCCTGTCTCCGCCACCCCTCGTCAAAAACCAGTTCATTATAGCAGGGTCACATCAGCGAGCGGGGGCTCGCGTCCCTCGCCACGGTCCCATGCCGGTGTCTCCCGCTCAGCCCTCATCCGGCACCCACGATATGCCACGTGCTGAGGACTTAATGCTGAATTGCCCCAGTCCCGGGGGCGAGCCCCGAGCCCCCCCGGTCCCCGCCCAGTGCCTGTAGAAACACGTAACGCTGGCACCGGCCCTGCACGTGTCCCCTCTGCGGGGTGGCTTCCCGCTGCCCGACCCACCGCTGTGTGTTGGAAAAAAGTTGATGAAGGAAAAGAATAAAAGGGGGAAAAAAAAAAAAAAGACAAAATGAGATGCGGTTCTCTGCCCAGCTCCGTCAGCCAGGAGTCAGCCCTGGGTCAGCCGCTGTTGCTGGCACAGGATTGCCAGAGGATGCAGAAAATCGGCCCGTGCTTATCTTCCCTCTTTTTGCAAGTGTATTTCCATTTCACCCGCTGTTCTCAATACCTGTTTTTTCTAACCTACCGAGGATGTTTTATTCCTCCCTAACCATGAATTATCTCCTGGAGGGAAGGTGTAGTATAGAATATAATCCCAGGTGTATAAAATGCTGGCTGCCAGTAGACTCAAGGGGGTATTAAATGAAATGCCACGGTCTGGAGTTGGAGACAGCCCAGCCACCTTTGCTCGGTCGGTCCCCTACAGCCGTTCTTAGGCCGGTGTTTGTTCCCTTTCAGGCCCCCAAGGAGACCCTGGCCAAAGCCGTTCTGGCAGAGCTGCCCCAGCAAGTCGTGCAGTACTTCAAGCACCAAAACCTGCCGCCCATCAACTCGGAGCCCGCGTAGAGCTGTGCCAGGCTGCGCCCTCTGCATGTTGCCGAAGCCTGTTGGTCCTACCGAAAGCGCATGTTCCACATGCTTTTAAGAGAAGAGTACCCTCCCCGAAACACTTTGTACTTCTTAATTTAATTGCTAAGTTCTTAAAACTCATCCCAGAGAAGCGTCTGGATTCATTTTGTACAGTCCCGGCCCGAGGTAACACGAAGGGGCCAGGCCGTGCCCTGGTCCTGCTCTGTTGAGTCACTTTTCAGCATTGAATGTACTTTGTATAATTTCAGTGGAACGGGATACAATTTTTACAGTCAAAACTTGCTTTTTCCAAGCAATGAAATGCTTAATATATTATTATCATTCAATGAACTGGTCATTGTATAGTTCATGTATCTGTGTTGTACCTGTACATCTGTCACCCTCTATGTTCATTTTTATACTGTGTACTTGTTATATTTGTTATACTCAGGTTAATAAAGAAACTTGGACATTTAAAACAAGGGTCTCCTAGATGGGAAGGTCTGGGAGCACCTTACATGGTCAGCGGTGCTGGGTGTTCGAGAGTCACCCCGACACGGGCTGCCCTGGTCCCCCAGCCGCTCACCCTGCACGCGTTTCTGCTCGCTGCGCCC